CTTTATAAAACTCAAGTTTGCTTATGTCATGTAAGCTGAGTCCTTCCCCTATTGCCTACAAAGCTAAATCCCAGTTCCTTAAAAGCATGGTTTACCAAGTGCTTAGCAATCTGGTCCCACCTGATTTTACCAACAGTCATCTCCTGCCACTCTGCCCCACCCCATCCCCCTTTTCTCCAACCTCAGGGAGGCTGGCCCATGTTGTTTACCTTTCCTGGATTGCCAGCCCTCTCATTTCCATCTGATAAGTTCTTATTCATCAGCACAGCTCATGAGCCTGTCACCTCCCTGCTGATGACTTCCCTGAGCCATGAAGAGTTAGTCATTTCTGTGTTCTCATAGCCTTTTGTTTTGTTCTTTCCTTTGGCAGTAACCATCTTTCATGCTTTTGGCTGCCTACACCTATGCTATGTTTGGCAAACTTTTTAGCCACCTGAATTCTATCTCTCTGAGGTAGAGCCCAGAAAATGTAAATTTCCCTTGCAGCTAGGAAGCTGTTAAATGACCCAGACTCCCCCAATCAGTGCCTGCATGGAACTTTTCTTTCCGAAGGGAGCAATATGCATGTCAAAGGGGTGAGGTGGGTAGCTGATTTGTGGAGAGTGGTTGAAATGGACCTCTGATTCTTGGGGTGGCAGTAGCTGCTGGTGTGAAGTGTCCAGAGACCCTGATCTTTCTTCTGAAGATGTAGAAAAACTGGAAATTGCTAACATTGTTGAAAGGAGTATTTTGGAAAATTATTTGGCAAAATTTACTAAAGCTGAACATATGCACATTCTACTCTGAGACTGAATGCCTGGGTATATACCCAAAAGAAATGAATGTTTTATTTCTAAGAAGGTTTGAGAGGGCAGGACAGGGTTAACTTCTTCCATTTTGTGTAATTATGTCACTATGTAACTGGACACTAGCCCTCATCCAACCAATAAGGGTCAGCCAAAGCAGTGACCTCACCACCCCTATAAATCCATTATTAGAGAAACCGGTCCCCTTCTTCCACCGTGCTGCTGCGTAGGGGGTGAGCCTGGCTAGCCTGAAATAAAAAAGACTCTTTTGCTTTTGCATCAGAGTCGGCTCCCTGGTGGTCTTTGGGGATCGCGAAATCTGGGCATAACAGATTCATCATATCAACTTTATTTAGTGCTGAGAGGTGGTGACAGTGGTGTTTGCTAGATCAGCTCTCTGGGATGGCTGGACTTATTTGTGCTCTCTGGTTCTTGGGACACCTAATATGCTGTGATAAATTAATTTATTGCTTAAACAAGCCTGAGTAGATCTATTTTTGCAATGACTGAAAAAAAGTGAAACATTTTGATTTGAATACTTACAACTTTTATCACACAAGCTGTATTTTATTGTACCAAGTTCTATTACATTTGCATGTTTGTGTTCCTCACTAGGTTGATCACAAGAACTGTATCTTCTCTTTTATGCATAGTTCTGATTTCTTAGACATTTATACATAATTCATATAAATATATATTGAGTGTCTTCTCTGTGCTAGGCACTGTGGTAATCATTGAGGATATAATCATGAAAAAGGCATGTGATATTTGCTCTTACAAAGTGTACAGTATAAAAGATCTGTGCCTGAGACATTCTAGGTATTCAAATAAGTTAGTATACCAGTACATTTGGATTATTTCATTTAATGGACATTCATGTTCTGAAAGTAAAAAAAAAAAAAAAAAAAAAAAAAAAAAGAGGGAGAGGGAAAGAGAAAGAGAGAGAGAGAGAGAGAGAGAGAGAGAGAGAGAGAGAGAGAGAGAGAGAGAGAAATATCCTTAAGTTTTTCTCAGGCTAATAGGAGACACATATATGTAAATAAATGAGGCCCGCACAATGTAAATAGTGTGATAACTGAAATATATACCAGATTTGCTGGTGACACAAGGAGGGGTGCCATGAAGAATTCTACTTGGAAGAGACAGGAATGAAAGACCGAATTACTGAACTTGTAAATATTTGAGCAAGTGAGTATAAGATTTCCTTTTTGCCTTTGCCCTCTTCTTCCTTTGCTTCTCTTTTCCTTCTCTCTTCCCCTTTTCTTGCAGTGTCCTTTGCCCTTTAATGTTGGAAGCTGCCCAATGTCCTCACTAGCAAAGAGGTGTGGACAAGGCACCTGGAAGGCTGGTTAACCTTGAAGGTTGGGCAAGAATCAGAGCCAAGCACCCACTGTGTAGTTGAGACAAAGGGAGCTGAAGCAACTTTTAGTTTTATGTAAATCCTTGCTCATTGGCTATTACTGGAATTGCCAGCCTAAGAGCTATGGGTGGATCTGGAACCTGAATAAAAGGAATCAAAAGGCCAGAGCAAAGTGGAGTCCTTCCTCTTGATCTGGGCTCCCGCCTGGCCCCCAAGCCCCAAATTAATATTTTCTAATCTTTTTCATTTGTGTGCGGCCTCCTCTAGAACCCAAACTCTGATCCTGAACCCCATGCAGGATGTGGGGGCGGGGGGTACACTACACTTTAAGGCCAGTTTTATAACAAATCCTTATTGACTACTCCTGTTTCTCTTTCCCAAACTTCCAGACTCTGTTAGTAACATTTCCAAACTCTCATAATGCCTTGTATAATACATACCTCTACCAATTTTCATATATCACCTATGTATCTGTTAGTCATCCTCCTCCCCCAAGTCAGGGCCTGGCAAATAATTAGGACTCAAAAAATATTTCTTGCCGAAACCGGTTTGGCTCAGTGGTAGAGCATCGGCCTGCAGACTGAAAGGTCCTAGGTTCGATTCCGGTCAAGGGCATGTACATTGGTTGCAGGCACATCTCCGGTAGGGGGTGTGCAAGAGGCAGCTGGTCGATGTTTCTCTCTCATCGACGTTTCTAGCTCTCTATCCCTCTCCCTTCCTCTCTGTAAGAAAAATCAATAAAATATATTTAAAAAAATATTTCTTTCTTTTTTAAAAAAATACATTTTATTGATTTTTTACAGAGATGAAGGGAGAGGGATAGAAAGTTAGAAACATCGATGAGGGAGAAACATTGACCAGCTGCCTTCTGCACACCCCCTACCGGGGATGTGCCCGCAACCAAGGTACATGCCCTTGACTGGAATCGAACCTGGGACCCTTCATCCGCAGGCCGACGCTCTATCCACTGAGCCAAACCAGTTTCGGCCTTTCTTGTATTTTAAATTTTATTTGGGGGTTTCTTTTTGTTTTTATGTGTGTGTTTTTCTTTTTTTCTCTTTTTGGCTTTTTAAAAATAAATATTTTTGAGACTCCTCTCAGAAAGATAAAAATAAAAAGGATTGATAACATCAGAGGTTGATGAAGATGTAGAAAAACTGGAAATTTCAAACATTGTTGAAAGGAGTATAAATTGGTGCGACCATTTTAGAAAATTATTTGGCAAAATTTACTAAAGCTGAACAAATGCACATTCTACTCTGAGACTGAATGCCTGGGTATGTACCCAAAAGAAATGAATGTTTATGTCTAAGAAGGTTCATCATATCAACTTTATTTATAATAACCCAAACTGGAAACAACTAAATGTCCATCCACAGTAGAAGGGATAGAAGAATTGTGGTATATTCATATCATGAAATAGTACACAATAATTTTTCTTAAAAATGAAAAACTACTACATATAACAAAATGGATGATTATCATATACTAATATTGAGCAAGAGAGACCAAACACAAAAAAATTACATATTGTGATTACACATATTGTGATGAACTACCAAAAGAGGCAAAATTAGTTACTGGTAATAGAGGTTGAAATAGTGGTTAACTTTTACAGAAGGAGCAGGGGGAAGGCACTGAATCAGGGCTGGAGAGAAACTTCTAAAGTTTGGAAATAACCTTTATTTTTATAATGGTATATTTAAAAGCCACATACAGAGGATTTCCTGGGACATGTCAACTGTTCTTCATTAAACCATTTTATATTCCCAACCACATAAATCTGTAAAAATTTGAGTTATATACTTATGATCTACACATTTTTAAACTGTAGGTAGGTTATACCTTGGTGAAAATGTAAATATAAAAATAATTAAATAAAAATGAATGAATGAGCTGGGTCTTCCAAGATAAAGAAGGTATTACGGCAGAGGAGGGACTTTGTGCTGCGTTGGATTTTTAAGCATTGCTCAGTTCTTGAGCTCTTTATACTCTAATAATGCCCCAAATAGTTGCTCATGTACTACCTTTGCTTAAATATTAGTTGCCTTTGCTATGTAATCACAATTGTGAAGTTAATAAAGAAAATCATTAACCGTAAAGCAGATGATGAGAACCTAATGGGACTGGCATTTAATTCACTGCGAGGGACCTATTAAGTTCTTTGGGAACTGGGGAATATGCCTAATCACCTTTTGTGTTTTTTTAATCCTTTGTGCTTTATGAGATGTAAGTACAAATTAATTATTTAGATTCTTAAAGGGAGAGATGAGAAGTTGGCACTCATGTTTACAAACAGAAACGGAAGCCACCCAGCATGATATTATTGCCCAAGCCACCCAAAGGCCAGAGTGGACTAGTCATAATTGCGGGGTGGCCCGGCCACGGGATGCGCCTCTCCCATCCTTCTGCAGGCGGGACTCATGGCCAAGCCACTTATCCCGCCAGCCTGGCACAGGTCGCTAGCGGCCAACATCTCCGCCTGCGGCAGCTGGCACATGCACCAGAGATAACAGCCGCCCTCTAGTTCCCAAACCGTGCAGTGTCAGGAGACGCAGTTCCCAAGAATTCCAGTAGGTGTCGCTGCCCCGCAGCTGCCGCGCGCCGGGAGGCGGGGGTCAACCTTACCTGCGGCTCCAGGCGCGCGCCTCACCTGGGCGGCCGCGCGGTGCCGCCCTCGCCACGCGGGGGCGCTGTGCCGCGGCCCGGCCGTCCTCTCCGCTCCGAGGTCTCAGGCAGCGGTGCAGTCTCGGCTCCGTCCTCGTCCTCACTCCCTGCCGAGGGGGCGGGGACCGACCTGTGAAAGGCGGGCGAGCCGGACCCAGGTATGTTCTTCCACAAAAGCCGGGCGGCGGACGGAGCAGCAGCGGCGGAGCGGCGGGCGGAGGAGGCGGACGAGAAGATGCCACTGTCGCAGCCGCCTCCGGGCGACCCCGGGGAGAGCCCCCCGCCCAGGACCTCCTCCAAGAAGCACACCCCTTTCCACCTCTGGCGCTCCAAGAAGAAGCAGCAGCCTCCGCCGTCCGACTGCGGGGTGTTCGTCCCGCACCCGCCGTCGGATTGTGGGGTGTTTGTCCCGCACCCGCCCCCGGCGCCCCTCGGCGAGGCCAGGTAAGCTGTGCGCCCCAGCCCTCCGGTCTTCCCTCCTCTTTCTCCCTCTTCCTCCCTTTTCTCTCCCCCATCTCCTCTGGCTACCCAGACCCTTGAATTCGCCGGACCCCCCTCGCACGGAGGGGGGCAAAGGCCCGGGACCCGGTTCACCGGGCGCGGGTATAACGGGGTCCAGAGGGGCGCAGTCGTGGCCTCTGCGGGGGATTAAGCCCCTCCGGTTTCTGATCCAGACCGAGCACCAGCGAGGGAAACTTGTTTCTCACCGACCTAGACCTTATTCTGGTTGTCAACAAATGCATGCAAGGGTCTGCACCAATGGTCGGCAAACCACGGCTCGTGAGCCACATGCGGCTCTTTGGCCCCTTGAGTGTGTGGCTCTTCCACAAAATACCACGTGCGGGCGCACACATACAGTGCGATTGAAGGTGTACCCTTATTAAGTTACTAACAATGTACCTACCTATATGGTTTAAGTTTAAAAAATTTGGTTCTCAAATAGAAATTTCAATCATTGTACTGTTGATAGTTGGCTCCGTTGACTAATGAGTTTGCCGACCACTGGTCTACACTATCACCCTGCTGGCGAGGGCACAGAACAGTGGAGGGTGATTGCCATAAAGAAGGATGGTGGGAACTCTACCTTGGAGTCACATAACACGTTTGATAATGGTGCCTTCCTGGTGAAGATGCCCACTCTTACAATGCATCTCCATCGTCCTTACAAGACCTGAATGGAGAAGTGGCAAGGATGGGTACCCCCCATTTTATGGGTAGAGAACCTGAGACCGAAGGGTAAATGGCTTGTTCTTATGGGAGTCATTGTCAGAACTACGCAGCACCTATTGGAAGTGTAACTGTCATTGCGCTTTATAAATTTGTACCATAATTTTGTGGTGGCTTTATTCTGTATGTATAATTATTCAGTTATACTGTCTGAATTCATACAGTTGTTGGACAATAACTCAGTTTAAAGTAACAGTATATCCATGTGGTTTGGAGTTATAAAATGTTTTTAGTGAAGGACAGTTAAGTACTAGTACGTCCTTCTGTGTGTGTGTTTTTAAAACACATGCTTATGAACAATGAGGACCAGAATAAAACTGTGCAAGATTTGCATTTCAGACATTTTTCCCTTTTGTTTCTAAAAAGCTCTTAATTTTGCAATATATTTTCATTCATTTAGTATACATTTTATTGAGAGTCTTAACTAAGTGCTGGGATATAAAAAACAATGAGAGCAGTCTCTGTCATCAAAGAATTTTTGGTCTCTTGTGACCAAAAATTAAACCATGGTATAAATGCTTTGACCGATGTTTGCACAGAGGAAGGAATCCATGGAGACTTCCTGGAGGAGGGTGGCTGATGGGAAGAGGGAGTTGGAGGCAGAGGTTGCACTATGAGCATCACCAACGCTGGGAAGAGCATAATATTTCCTGAGAAAGCACAGTGGTTTCCGGAGGTCTGAGTATGTGTGTGTGTGGGAAGGGGGGGGGGGAGAGTGGAAGGGAGGGGAGGAGGGGTAGAGAGAAGAGTGTTAAAAGACATTTTATTTTTTCTCATATTTTATCATCCATCATAGTAATTGGTTGTAATAGAAGATATGTTTATCTATTCAAAGGTTTACTGTGCTTATTTATGAATTGAAATGTCTAATAAACTATTTTACTTAATAATGATGTACTCAACTTTAAAGTCTTTTCCCTACTACCTCAGTGAGTATTTTAAACATTTCCATAGTGGTTGTTCTTATCTGACCTAGTCCCATCATTTCTGACTATCAAAATGCAATAGTCACAGCTATGGACAATTAATTCAAAGGATAATACATTTTATTTTATTTTTAAAATACTTTTATTGATTTTTAGAGAGAGGAAGGGAGAGGTATAGAGACAAACATCAATTGACTGCCTCCTGCATGCTCTCTACTGGGGACTGAGTCCACAACCCCACATGTACCCTGACCAGGAACTGAACCATGACTTTCTGGCTCATGGGCCAATGCTCAGCCACTGAGTCACACCTTCCAGGTTCAACTGCAAACATGTTTTAAACTAAAACTTGAATTAGGAGCATTTGCTTCTTTCCTTGAGCCTCTTGTGTTTTAGTTCTATCTTGAAGCACTCTGTTCCTTCCATCAGAACTATGATGAACTTTGTAGCAACGAATGTTCTGAAAACTAAACATACTGGTCTGTCTTGGGGATATTTTTCTTGTTAGGTCATCTTTATGAGGGAGTGTAGCTGTTTCTAGTCTGAAGAGGTGGTCAGAGTGCACTGAGATTTCTGCTCAATCTTTGGCCAGTGTGGCTCCATTCATTTCTGCCCAGGACTTGGAGGTGATGGAACATGGCTAGAAGGTGCAGAGTGTCCTGTAGCCTTTGTTTCTGCACAAGGAGGGAACAGTCAGGTGGCCACACATATACAATTAATATTATGGGCTTTTAGATCGAACAAAAATGACAGGTCTTTGTGACCTTGGGTGAGTTTCCTTCCTGGGTCTTGGTTTCTTCATTATAGAAAATAGTAATGATGACTCTGTAAGTCTTTTGTGAATATCAAATGAGTATTTACGTTATTAAATGTAAAACTTTTATCACACTTCTGGGCACAAAATAGAAACTCAGTAAATGTAAAACCATCATCATCATTATCATTATAGATACAAAGATCTAATGGAAGAAATGGAAAGAACAGGGTTAGATGAGGGGAAATGCTTTTCTTCCTAGAAGAGCTTAACACTCCAATGGTGGTTCAAAGTTTATTGATGTTAGATTTCAGTAGTCTGCAAATATTTGTGGCTTGTAGTGTGGATGTTCTAAAGATCAGTGATGGTTGTATTCTTTCTTTACATAAAGTAATTTGAACATGACTGCCTCTCTTCCTAAAATTCACCCCTAAAGGTTTTCTTCAGCGTGGTTTTGGCGAACATGTTAATATTTTCATAGAAAGAGAGCCATTGCCCTCCTGGATCAGCCTCATCTCTCGTCTAGTCCATTGGTCTCTTGCCATCACAGGGCCCAATGTTGTGTGTGGAGAGGGCACAGTGGGCTATGGCCAGTCTTTCTTTGCAGCCATCAGCGGCACTGCCATTTATTGGGCTTCTAATTATACTCTGTTTTGTAAACAATTTATTCAGAGCATTAGTTCTTTGGTTTTAAGTTCCTGTTCTCCTTCTTACTATGATACTTAGCCATGTCATCCTGGGCCAGTTATTAACCTTTTTGTGCCGTATGTCAAGTGCTCAAAACAGTGACTGGCATATTGTAAACACTCAATCAATGGGAGTTGTTTCTCTTTTTTCTTGTTAGTACAATATCTTGCCTATACCACCTTTGGAGCAATAATTTAATGTGTTTATTTTATGCTATATGACCGAAATGGTACTTCCTTTATATTTTCATTAATTAAAGCACTCCATGTTGTTTTGATTAGAAATGAGGACCTATCCAGAGGTCAATGGAGTACATTAAAAATGATCACCCTGGAACTGAATTGAACCCCACACCCAGAAGCAAGCATTAATGCTTCCTACAGGAGAGCCAAACTCAAGTAGTTGGTGGGCCTGGTGATCCAATAAAAAGCAAGGATAGACCATGGTATTGGACACTCAGTTTGAAATCTGCCTCTCATTTGGATAAATTTTGTTTAAGCCTCAGTCTTAACTTTGCTTTCTCACCTGTATAATGGAAATAACTGCAATTTTTTTTTTATGGGGCTCTATGAAGATTTGATATTATATGTGTAAAACACCTGGCATAGGGTCCAGCCGAAGTAGGTAGGAGCAGAAGTGATAGTGGTTGTAATTGTCATTGTTGTCATAGTATTGGCAGTAGCATTAATAAATGCATTTTTACTTTGCAAATGGAGTTAAAAAACTTCAGAGCCCAGAAAAAGTTGTACTCAGGTCTGTCCAGCCTTGAACCACCTTTGATGTCCATGTTAGTCTATAAAAGATGCCCTTTATGCATTCAGAGAAACTTTATACTTGATGCAAGAGAAGTTTCTCCTGAAATGATTTTGGAATCTAAGTTTAGAATAGGATAATTCTTTGCCACTTATCTCTGTCATTATACCACTTTATCCACCCTCTATACTTCTGGTCATAATCCCTGTAGTCCATATACAAGTGATGTAAATGCTTTTGGGTATTTTTTTGTAGAACTTCTGGGCTAAGGTTTCCTTTTTACCTTTTAATTATAAATCTTTTTTGTTGGTATTGCTCAGTGGTTGAGCATTGACCCATGAACCAGGAGGTCATGGTTTGATTTCCGGTCAGGGCTCATGCCCAGGTTGTAGACTCGATTTCCAGTGGGAGGGTATGCAGGAGGCAACCAATTAATGATTCTCTCTCTCACCATTTATGTTTCTCTCTCTTTCTCCTTTCCTCACTCTGAAATCAACAAAAACATATTTTAAAACAAAACAAGCACATATCTGTCTTAAAATTTGACTATACCTAAGGGATCATTTGTGTTTCAGGAATATCAATATAGAAAAAAAAAGATTATTTAATTTTAAAAAATTGTGCCTGGTAAGAAGATTTTTTGAAGTGTGCATGTATGCCTAATTTGAAGTACTTTATCAAAGAACTGCTTAACCTCCATTTCAAGCTATACTTATTATTTAGAAGATTTGAAAATCCTGCTCATGAAACACAATGCAATTTGACCCATAGAAATGCTTTTCTAGGATTAATGATAGATCATTCTATGGTACAGATTTTTTGTTTTTTGGTATCTTATTGAAATGATTATCAATTACAACAATTTTAAATCACTTTTAATTTATTTTAGAGACAGAGGAAGAGAGAGAGAGAGAGAGAGAGAGAGAGAGAGAGAGAGAGAGAGAGAGAGAAGAGAGAGAGAGAGAGAGAGAGAGGAGGGAGAAACATCTATCAGTGTCCTCCCTGTGGGGATCGAACCTGCAACCTGGGTATTTGCTCTGACCGGGAATTGAACCTGCTACCTTCTTATGTATGGGATGATGCTCCAATCAACTAAG